GGGAGTAATTGATCATACTTAATTCAGTGTCTTTTACTTTTATCACTCTTAACTTTTATGGAGTAAAACAATTAAAATGTAATAATATCTTATTTATTATTTCATAATACAAAATAATACATTTTTGCTTAAACACATTTAACAAGACAAAATATATTAACAAATTTTTACTAGTTAAACAGATTGGATACAGAGACTCATTAAGAAAAGTGTGGCAATGAAGTAAAACACTTTTATTGCCAATAATAGGTATTGTATTGTATACTGCATGGTTTTAATAGATGTATTTGATGTATTGTCTAGTTTTGTGACATGCTGTCTTACCTCATAGTATTTACCATCCGTGTAGCATCCACAGTTCTGACTGAGGATACAACTCTTGCCGTTGACCACAAAGCCTAGGTCACACTGGCACCCCTCAACACAGTACTGGTTACAGTCTCTCTGTCCACGTGCAGGGGCACATTGCGGCTGGCACACCATCATACAGCTGGAATAGTGGCTGTTCACAGGGCACGACAGAACTGGGCACACATAGAGTTCATTGGATGGGTGAGTTTCTCCAGAAGTAAAGAGGAGGATGTATTGCATTTCACTTTAAAGGGCTTATATAAATGTGTGGCATTCACGGGGCTTTGATTGTGATAAAGTGTCTTGTAGTTTTTATGTTGGCAAAACAGAATATTTGTAAATTAAGACATGCCTTGTGATTAGCCAGCGTAACACCAAGCATTAAGGGGTTTTGGAATAGCGTTTTCATGTAAGCCCTAGAAGTGCAAACAATATTTGCATTTAAATGTATAAAAATTACAATACTTTTCATAGCAGCCTCATAAATCTTTCAAATCTTTAATTTCCTGAAGAAAATTGCTAGGGTATTTTGGCTGTTAAGTGGCTGGTCCAAGTCAAAAGAACCCACCCTCAAGTGTCTATGATATTCTAGTTTCTAAAAATGGGTCCAGCTCCTCCATCATTGTAAGTCTATGTTTTGTTTTGTTTTGTCATCCACCAGGTGATAATCTGATCCCTTAGAAAATAAACAGCACATCTCTCCTTAATAAGCCTCACGTTTTACTGTAGAACAAACCCCTAACCTCAAGTATGAGGAAATAAAATTGCAATACTTGCTTTAGAAAGCACCATTCATTTTTATGCATAAGATTGTGACATGAGTAAATGAACATAAATGAAAATATTTCTCACCACAGGGTGTGGAACTTCTCCAGCCAATGACGGACACTCCTTGTGTCTGACAGGTATTGGCATAAATCTGTAGCCAATTACAGATGGTCTCTCTCGCACCCTGATCCACACATGTATCCTGCAGACAGCTCTGGTAGAAGTATGCTGGTGCCACTTTGCTGTGACAGCGTGCAAACACACCTCCACGGTCTATTATAAGTCCACATAATCTCACCGCCTCAGGTTCGACATACACATACAACCCTTCAGCAAGGTGGAAACGGTTTCCTGGGTTACCCTCATCCATGTCAATGTTACCAACAGCATCTGTTACTTGGGCGGGGACCTCAGCAGCTAGGCCCCTCTCAGCCAATCCACAGCGAGGGCAAGAGTCCCCGCAACCAACTTGGCAGAAGGTGTCACGTTCTGCCCATGCCATGCCCCATTCTGTGACACTTAGAGTGGGACCAGTAATAGGCATTCCTTGGCAGAGCCCACAGGTGGCGTTAAAGAGACTGCGAGGAAGAGTCAGAAGCAGTAGAGTATTCCAGTCAAAAGCCACCTGTAGAGATATTAACTGTGTATTAGCTTACACAGTGGATAACGTTGTAATCTGAGGAGTTTTGCTTTTTTCCCCCTGTGTACAGTATGTTGCAATATGTATTTTGATCTGTACTCCACCTTCAGACCAAAGTCTGTCTCCACAAGTAACTGCAGGCCAAGGGTGTAGATGTTAACTTTCCCTGGACCAAGTTTTATAGGCAGATACAGGCGCTCTTTATTCACCTAAAAGAGAATAAAAAAAATATTGACATTTGTTTCAATAATAGCAATCAAATCTGTTTGGTACATAATACGTCTCATCTCCTGGCTTTGCTTCTTATATCATCTCATTTTATCAATCTGTTGTTCATTGTCTATCATTACTCTCTATACAAAAGCCAGTTTCATTATGATTCACTCTGTCTCTCAATTTCTAACTTGGTTTTCTTCTCCCCTCAATCTTTATTTGATCTAAAGTTCCTCAGATCTTCCAGTGGTGTTATGAACTCATTCCAGACATCACTCAGTTATAAGTTTCCCTCTGTATCTGGTCCAGTATGCTAACAGATGCTGGCTGAAATATTATACCCCTCACCTGAAAAAATGTACTCCTCTGTTTAGCTCTTCTCTCTGGGCTGATTAAAACAACTTTGTATCATAAAAATTAGGAGTTTGACCTTCAAAGGGTGGTGTTCTAAAATTACAGAGGAATTCTTGTGATTATAAAATGTCTGCCACTCCTGCAAATGGCCAAAAACTGTATCGGTAGCTGTCTGTTTCAGGTGCAGGTGTAGAATTTTGTATTGATCCAAATCAGCTTTGGCTGCTGGATCACATTTGTACATGCAAATATGAACAAGCTATTTGTGGCACTCTAATTGATTTAAGTTGCATGCTAATTACAATTCTTGAACATGTCCCTGTTTAAAACAAAGCTAACAAAAGCATAAGATTCACATTAGTCAGAATCAACACATACAACACATAGCTCAGGACAATCTTACCATGACTGTGTGTTTGAAACTTTGTGACACCTCAATTTCATATCCATAGACCTCCAGAACAAATCCCCGCACCCATATAGCCTGGCCTGTGTCTCGTTCTTCATTCCGAGCTGAAAACTGGAACCTGGGCAGTCCTCCCAGTACTGTCTCTGCACTCTCTAGTCCCCCAAAGCCATCCTCGTCCCCCTCTCCACACTCAGTAGTGGCTAGACGGAGAGTACAGCTGCTCTGGAGGTCAAATGGTACACCTCCAAATGGCAAAAAGTGTCCATAACCAGCAACAACACACATGGCCTCTGTCCTTGGCTGACAGAAAAACAGGCCTTCATTCTCCTGGCAGTACTCCTCTGGGTGACAGGGTGAGAAGGTGCAATAGACACTGTTGTCTGTGCCGTTGCAGTAGCAGCGCTCCTGGCACTCCCAGTCTGTCCAGAATGTCTCATTGGTGGCTAGCTGCCGGCCCAGGTAGAAGCAGCCACAATCGCTACGTGCCACACAGATGCCATCACGGAGGGCAAATCCCTCTTCACACTGGCAGCCCTCGGAGCAGGGTAGAGGGCATGGCTCCTCAGGATCATCCAGGTTAGAGCAAGTGAGAGGGCATGCAGATGTACACTCATCGAAATGACTGTTTTCTGGACAGGGTAGAGCTAAAGAAACAAAGAAAAAGGAAATTATGTGAAAGGGATAGAAGGTGCTGAAAATGATCAAAGAGAGAAACAACCAACACTCTTACGGCAGTTGGTAGCACTCCTCCAGGCTCCCAAGATGATCTGAGCATCCTGGCAAGCTGAAGCATATGCCTGGAGGGAGTTACACAGGGCAGAACGGTTTCCTTCCCGCACACACATGTTGTAGAGGCAGTTCCTGAAGAAAGGAGAGGGATTAACAGCTGTGTGGCAAGCCAGGAACGAGCCGTTTCCTAGGTCATTGATGTTTCCACACAGCCATGGGCTCTGGTACAGCCTTAAATCTGTACACATACGATACAAGTCCTCACAATCGCCATTGCATGTCAGATCATCCGCAATGGCTTTCCAGCCTTCGATAAACTGTTCGGGTGTATCGGCCTGCCTTCCGCTAGGTAGACGGAGGTCATCAATTGGATCTCCATTGAAGAAACCACAAAGACCACAGGTGGTGTTGTAAAAGAGAGTGGAGAGAGTGATGTTTAGCAGGCCCTGACGTGAGTATCGAGTGCGGACTAAACCACTCCACTCAATCACCGTGATATTACCAGAGGACCGGTATATTATTAAAGGCTCCACTGGATGGACATAAGGAAGAAATGCTGGTTCACCGTTGACCTGGGTGGGGAGAAGAATTACGACATCATCAGCATGTCATACAATCAGCTAACTTGGTCTGAACAATATGTGAGAATATATTGAGGAAAAATCAAAGCTACTGTACAAGTAATGATATTGCTATAGTGAGGTGTCCCAAGAAGGTATCTTTTTAAAAGCATCTTTTAGTTTCACAGACTTGGGAACTGACAATTTTTTTTGCATAGTAGAGGATATAAAAGTCACCACAAACCTTTATCAAGTCAAAATCTGAGCCACCTATCTGTGCTTCCAAATGTCCCACCCTAACGACCACTGGCCGTAGCCATGTAGGGCCCTTATTCACCAGCTTCCTGCCAATCTTCACCTCCACTGATGTAACATTTGCAGGCAAGCGTCCCAAAGTCTTCACCAAGTAGAATGAGCTTTCATCGGGGAACGGCATTGTGGACCCATCAAACGTAGCCAGTATCTGAGTCTGAGACAGCAAACAGGCTGCTTCGCGACGAGGGTAACATCCCAACAACCCAACTTCTGCTACACACACCTCGCCTTCACCACAAGAGTCATTGAAGCATGTTACTTCACCTGCCGGGCCACACACACAGCGCTGGGAGCATTCTTCACCCACCTCACCTCCTTCCCCTGCCCAGAAGGTCTCATTTAGGGCATAGTACAGGCCATCACGCTCACATCCACACTCAGAGCGACGGACACAGTGGCTACCACTCAGCACATAGCCCTGGTCACACTGGCAGCCCTCAGTGCATGGATGTGTACAGTAGAGGTGAGACGTCAGGTCGGAGCAGGAGGCAGGACATGCACTCGTGCAGACTTGGTAGTGGCTGTTCTCAGGGCATGTCAATGCTAAGAGCCAATGGCAAATGGAAAAATGCAAGGTCAGTGGAAAAGAGAACATAGAAAGAACATACTGATGATAGAAAGTGAGAAAAGTATTTAATAATGTATACTTGATTTAACCTCTAAAAGAACTCTCTACGATGTCTGGACTTTATTGACACAGAATTAACCTTAATGTCACACCTGATATCACTCACCACAGAACGAGCGTGATCTCCAGGGTCGTATAGTGACTCCCAAGGCCTGGCATGCAAGTGCATATGCCTGTATAGCCTGGCACAGGGTGGTGATGTTATCACGATTGCTGCACATATCATAAACACAGCTGTACACAAATAAAACAAGGAGCACACATTTAAGATATAAGTAAAATATTAATTTAATGTATCAAATACCATGAAAACATTATATAATTATATAGTTTTTTTGTACCATTGTAGCTGCAGCCATTTGCTGGGTCTATCTGGTCGGCATCAATGCGGAAGAACCACCGTCCAGGCACGTTAACATTAGTGGTCTGTTCAATGTTGACCACTTCGTTCGATCGTGATCCGGGAAGGTTCAAGAAATGGCTGACATCTCCACCATTAAAACCTGCCTAGAGAGGGTAATCATAGCAGAGAATGATAAAGAGTTATATCACATATATACAACAGTTATATCACAAGGTGAGATTTCTGAGATTACCTGTGCTGTGGTTCCTCCCAGGCCCGTAAGAGGGTCTCCTCCACTAGCCGTGCCTGTGCTCCAGTTGATCTCTCCATAGTTAAACATAGCAAAAGAAGCTTGCCCATCGGAGATCAAAACCGCCTGAAATGTATTTACCTGAAAAGAAAAAAAAAGAATGATTACTCTCTTTTGTGTTGGTGGTGGTGATTATTGTGGTGATCACACAGTACATGCTGCTCATTAGCGCAGTTTTGATATTGGCCATGCAAATTAAACTATTTTTGCCTCACCGGCGTTGTCTGGCTGCCTCCATAAAAGGTGACCTGATTCCAGGTAGCAATGAAGACCCAGGTGGCAGTGAAGGACACCATATTCTTCAAATACTTTCTGACATCCTGAGTGACCCTCTCCAGGATCTCTGGGTCTGTTGTCTCACGGTAGTACACATCCCCACGGATACCATTATGCACGTCAGCCCATAAAGGGGCAATGAAGGAACGGCTGTCACTGAGGGGAAAAGCCTCTGGAGTGAATTGACTCACCTGAATGTTGAAGGAGATCACTCCATTGTTGTTGACCTATTGGGAAATATAGGATGATGTGCTGTTACACAATTCACTGCTGAATTGAACACTTAAGACGTTGCATGGAGATTTTGGGTGATTTTTCTCACAGTTCTCGTCCATATTTTGGATACTTACATAAAGGGATCTAGAAGGCAGATTGAAGAATATGAATGGAATTAGTATTGGAATCTCTGGAGAACTGCCATCATCCATCTTAGGGGTTTCTAAATCCCTGTGAGCGGGTCCAAAGGGGTAGAGGGTATCCTGAGAAAAAGCTAAGCAGAGGAAAAGTAAATGTTGACAAAGAAATAGTTTCCAAAGCAAAAACGCATTGGTCAGTTGGCCCTGTGAGGGTGTTTTGGACAGATCAGGGGCGTAGACCAAAACCAGCAAAGCTGATGGTAAAATGTGTGATCTATTAGAATTCTATCAAGAAATTGAAAGTCGCACATTATCTAAAAAAGGCACATAAACTAAAAAGACTGAAGAAAAGAGGAGAAAACAATCTTGCACCAGCATTAACATATATTAAAATCTTTTTAAACTACCTGGTTCCTCCCAGGCCCGTAAGAGGGTCTCCTCCACTAGCCGTGCCTGTGCTCCAGTTGATCTCTCCATAGTTAAACATAGCAAAAGAAGCTTGCCCATCGGAGATCAAAACCACCTGAAATGTATTTACCTGAAAAGAAAAAAAAAAGAATGATTACTCTCTTTTGTGTTGGTGGTGGTGATTATTGTGGTGATCACACAGTACATGCTGCTCATTAGCGCAGTTTTGATATTGGCCATGCAAATTAAACTATTTTTGCCTCACCGGCGTTGTCTGGCTGCCTCCATAAAAGGTGACCTGATTCCAGGTAGCAATGAAGACCCAGGTGGCAGTGAAGGACACCATATTCTTCAAATACTTTCTGACATCCTGAGTGACCCTCTCCAGGATCTCTGGGTCTGTTGTCTCACGGTAGTACACATCCCCACGGATACCATTATGCACGTCAGCCCATAAAGGGGCAATGAAGGAACGGCTGTCACTGAGGGGAAAAGCCTCTGGAGTGAATTGACTCACCTGAATGTTGAAGGAGATCACTCCATTGTTGTTGACCTATTGGGAAATATAGGATGATGTGCTGTTACACAATTCACTGCTGAATTGAACACTTAAGACGTTGCATGGAGATTTTGGGTGATTTTTCTCACAGTTCTCGTCCATATTTTGGATACTTACATAAAGGGATCTAGAAGGCAGATTGAAGAATATGAATGGAATTAGTATTGGAATCTCTGGAGAACTGCCATCATCCATCTTAGGGGTTTCTAAATCCCTGTGAGCGGGTCCAAAGGGGTAGAGGGTATCCTGAGAAAAAGCTAAGCAGAGGAAAAGTAAATGTTGACAAAGAAATAGTTTCCAAAGCAAAAACGCATTGGTCAGTTGGCCCTGTGAGGGTGTTTTGGACAGATCAGGGGCGTAGACCAAAACCAGCAAAGCTGATGGTAAAATGTGTGATCTATTAGAATTCTATCAAGAAATTGAAAGTCGCACATTATCTAAAAAAGGCACATAAACTAAAAAGACTGAAGAAAAGAGGAGAAAACAATCTTGCACCAGCATTAACATATATTAAAATCTTTTTAAACTACCCATGACCACCTTTACTAGAATTTATCACGTTTTATTGTAGGCTTATTTATTGTGGTAAATTTTGTCTAACTTGTAGAATTTATAATAGATAATCTATTAAGGGAATAGATTTTTTTCCCCTATAGATTTATGTTGTAGATATTGTTTCTAAATGTGCAGGCTATTGTTTTTCATAACAAATGCTATATACAGTGGGGCAAAAAAGTATTTAGTCAGCCACCAATTGTGCAAGTTAGCCTGGTGCGGGTCTACAATTTTGTTTCTGGTGTCCTTTGACAGCTCTTTGGTCTTGGCCATGGTGGAGTTTGGAGTGTGACTGTTTGAGGTTGTGGACAGGTGTCTTTTATACTGATAATGAGTTCAAACAGATGCCATTAATACAGGTAATGAGTGGAGGACAGAGGAGCCTCTTAAATAAGAAGTTACAGGTCTGTGAGAGCCAGAACTCTTGCTTGTTTGTAGGTGACCAAATACTTATTTTACCGAGGAATTTACCAATTAATTCTTTAAAAATCCTACAATGTGATTTTCTGGATTTTTTTTTCTCATTTTGTCTCTCATAGTTGAGGTATACCTATGATGAAAATTACAGGCCTCTCTCATCTTTTTAAGTGGGAGAACTTGCACAATTGGTGGCTGACTAAATACTTTTTTTCCACACTGTAGATGAATAAAAAAAGGCATTATTGACCGGGTAATGATTAATAGGCTGGCTTTATTATAACAAATGCTACAGTTAAGAACTATGGTACATTTTCATAAGAGCAAGTCCGAATCGAGAGCCATGTGTAAAATTATGAACTGTTAAGGAGTAAGAAATGAACAATATCAATATAAGAAAATGTTAAGTTAGATTGACTTCCCATGGCATGTTGAATTTTAACATTCTGTCAAACTATAGCCTGAGTGCCTAAAAATATAAAATACATTATATATCCTATGTAAACAAGTAATTATGTTTGCAACCAACTTTGATTGTGTGGATGATAGCACAAAAGACCATTTTACAAAAATAAACAAAAAAAAATCAACCTTAAGAAGGAGCACTTTTCAGACTGATGAAGTCATTTACACCGACTTGGAAAAGGTTTTGGGTTCTTATATTTATGTCACATTATGATATCATTACTTATTGATTGACTCTTTATTCAGTGCCTTGGCTCTTTTTGTCCATCAATCACTGTTACATCTAATGCTCAGGAGGGGCTGTGGAAGCAGGAGAGGGTATATAGGCAGTACTAAGAGGACATCACTTACCTCCTCTGGGAGCAAGGGTGCTGAAGAGCTGGAGAAGAGAGACTAAAGTGCCTGTTCTGACCATCCTAAACACCTGAGAAACATTGAAATATTCATTACAAAAAATAAGCAATGTTGTAGTGCCACCAGCCTTATAAATATCAGTTATTTTAAGATTAAAAAAGAAAAAGAAAACCATTAGTAGTATAATATTTTTTTTAAGTATGATAATAAACCTATTTAAAGAAATAAACAACTAGGTCAAGACACATTTGTCTCCAATCTTCCCTGGTTTAAAGTGCAGTCTCCCAGGTCTCCCATGGGGGCATTCTGCCCCTTTCTCCCACTCCATGGTGGGCCTGTTCGCCCTGAGCTGAAAAGGTTCTATTATGTGATGGAGAACAATGTGTTGGGATCACATTCTCTAGCACTACCGTGTGAGTGGGCTATGGTGCTGCAGTTCCAGGCCTCCACAGTGCCAATGAGCCCGCGGCTGGGAGAACATGCCTTGCTCCTCTCCATCGTCTGAAGGGTCCATTACCAAGTGTTTATGTGCTAGGACTTGTTGGCATCAGAGAAAGGGCTGTGAACAGTGAGGCTAATGGGTTTAATTTAGCAGGCTTGAGTTGCCGGGGTCTTTACGGCAACCCTGAGGGGCTGAAGTTTGTGTTTCACTCCCTTTAGATTCACCCAGCCTTAGTGTGCCAAAATAACTGGTCAACCTCCCAAATATCAAATGATGGAAATGATAAGGATATAAAATTATTCTGATGGTAAAACTGTCAATTGGGAATGTTTTAGGCAGACCTATATTTTGATGAGGAGGACTAAATGGCTTTTAGAAAGTGCAGTGACAAAACAGATAGTAAGCAATAGTAAGCAACACTGGTTTAAACTGAAACATCCAGTCTAATTCAGTCTTAAGCATGATTCCACAGAAAACTTGTCTTAAAATAAACTACCTAATACTCAAATGCATATCCAAAAGAAAAATACTGCCGAAGGTCTAGTGTGTTATTAAATAATTAGTATTTGACTCATATGTCATGTGTATGGCATGAAAATATATAAATGTTATATAATTCAGTGGTATTAGGAAAAACACAATCACATTGAGTTGCCTATTGTGAATTATGTAAGCTCTTCATAGTATCACAAATCCAAAATTATGTTGTCAGATTTCACTTACCAAAGCTCGCAATGTCATTATAGCTCAGTCAAGACATGGTTTCAAATGTAAGTCTAAATTTCTCATATTTCACACAATGTTGGAATCTTAGAACAGGAATCGGATGACCTGTGCCTTTGCCTTAGTAAGATAATCATCCAGTGGTAGCAAAATAAATTTAGCATTGAGCTGTCACATAAAATTATCGTACAGTAAAGAAAGTGTCATAAAAACCAGTCTTAAAATGAAGTACATCTAAAAATGCAAACAATTAACAACAAGAAAAAATAGTTTTTTTCTAGAAATCAGAGGAAATGTGTAATTAAAAAAAACATTTCAGTGCAAACCGTATCAGGATGTTATTAATTAAACCATTCCATGGAAATAATTAAAACCTATTAAAACATTGGCATGGAAACAAATGTACATTTTAATTCAAGCTGCTTGAATAATGAATGGATTCTTAAGTCATAGTCTTACGTGAATCATTTCTTCCTATTGCTAAGTAAGAAAGAACATCCAACATTAATGAAATCCAGTCTCCTGAAGAGAGCCTATGTGTTTGGACAATGTCCTGTATAACATCTTCCGTCATGAAACCACAGCACAGACGAAACTGGCATTTGATGGGATTCCCAAGTGAACCATGAGATACTGCATGAGATGCCAACAGGCAAATCCATTGCTCTCCACTTCACATTACATAGACTGGCAGAGTTCATTTGGCTAACCTCTCAGAAACCGATCTCAAACAAGCTGCCTGTCTGACGACTGGCATTAATAGCAATGATAGATGTTATCAAAATTACTTAGTTACCGATTGGAAGTTAAAACCTATCATTTACATTTTCACGCACAAAGTGTGTTTCCAAAACAAAGAGAGAGAAGGGAGGTGTAAACGAGGTAGAGAGCACCTGAACATCACTTGTGAGAAACTGACAAGGAGTGAAAGACAGCGAATTTGTCATAAGAAAGCAAAACAAAACAAGAACAAAACACAAGAGCTCCGGTTCCGAGACCACAACTAAGAATTCAGCACTCACCTGCCTTCATAGGACGGAAGTTCAGCACGTCACCTGTGCATGAGCCTCTAAGTCACATCCAAGTGGGTACCATCAACGCAGTCTCAAGAGCGGAGGAGCTCTGCTCTTGGATGCAGAAAAGGGAGGGGGAGACTGCCCAGAAAAACCCTTCCAAATCCTCCACTCACACAGAGCGCCGTGCTGGTCCAATTCCACCGGACAACCGCCAAGGACAAGAATGGCAAACACGGCCCAAACCGTGCTGCAGGGTGCGCTTGATTTCAAAGAGCAAAAGTCTGGAGAAAGTGATCCCAGAATGAGAGGACAGAGGAGGAGTGAGTGTGTGGGTTCCCTGTACGGCTCTACTGGAGGGAGACGCATCAGAGGCAGGTGCTACCTTTTGCACCAGGTATAGTGTTAAAGTTAATCTGAGATCAGTTTTTGGGGAAGGGGGAGGATAGGAGAGGAAAAGAGAGGGTTGAGACTTTTGAAAGAGGGAAAGACGAAGAACAAGAGCAGAATGGTAAAGAGAGAGTGGATGAGAGAAGGGGGGTAGACCTGTGGACCAGTGAAGGGTGGCATTTGGTAAGTAACTGAAGGGAAATATTGAAACTAGAGCCGTAAGCACAAAGAGGATTTCTGAAGAAAATGTCAGGCCTTTGGACTGAACCTCGATTCCCTAGATAGCAGCCCTCTCCATAGCTAGTGCACAGTCCACTGCATCTCTTTAAGGGGCTCTTCGGTCCACCCTAGGGGCATTTATTTACAAAAGGAAACACAGCAGAAAAACATTGCTTTATTTGACTGAAAAAGGGAGAAGAGCTTGGGTTACTGCATTAACATGAATCAACTTGGACACTCAATGTGTGTGCGTATGTGAGTGAATCAGTGCTCCCCCTCCTGTCTTACTGGGCTCCCTGCACCAATTAATGACAGCCTCATTTGCAACAGCTCACTCAACCCTAGGTTGGTCTCCAAATGGGGCTAATTTCCATAGATGCGGTGGTAAGATAATGACAGAATGAGGGGAAATCATTGGTGCATCCACGGTGATAGGGTCTGGGAAGGAGATGGGAGCGAGATCCGAGTCAGACTCAGCATTGTTTCTAGGAGGACAGTGGACGTAACTAAATACTGGTGGGGGCAGGATGTGTGAAAGCCGACTGGATGGACGCAGACCCCAGATTCCCTGTGACCAATGTGGGGGTCCCAGTGGAGGGTTCCTTTACACCTTGTTGCTTTGTTGTGCAAATGCAGCCCATACTCTTAACTAAACTAGTGCACAAGAACAGAGAATTTGACAAAGAGCGCAATGTGGTCCCAGGCTGACTGTTGGACAGTTGAATCATCTTGTGTTGGAATGACCAGATATAGAAAAAAGAAATAGTGAGTAAGGACAAGGAGGAGACATCAATCCCTATCTTCTCACCATCGTCTCCCTCTGCCGTTGTAATGAGCTTACTAATAGGGTTTATCATTCTATGTCTTGTCTTTATATTTGTCCCTCATTCTTTTTCATGTTGACCCACAAACACAATGTTGTGGTTGTGGAATAGGTCAACTAAGCTGAGATAATCCTGCATCTTTGCAACCAGTTTCAGTCCCACCAAGAACAAGAGATGTCTATGAGCTTGACGATAAGCTTTAACTCCACTGTCTGGGCACTGGAGTCAAGTGTCTGATAAAATGTAATCGCAAACTGTCAGCCCCATCAACCACCTGCCAACCAAACCTGGCAGATCTGAATCAGGCTGACCGAATTACCATAATGTCAGTGGGTACAACAAAGACTTTGGAGTCATCGAACCATTTCCGTGGGAAAGGACTGAAGCATAGTTGAATGCACCAACGCTGTAGTTGCTTGCTGGTAGGTCCACCAGGCCTGACCCTGGAAGCTGGAAAAGGTCCTGGATAAGAACCTGGCTGGGTCATCCAGTATCTTAATTTTCATCCAAACCTCTTTGATGCATCCAACGCCAAGCAGTTGCTTTGCCCTCATTTTCTTTCCTTTCCTCAACAATGTCAAGCCCCCTTAAGGTAACTCAAACCTTCTCAGAAAACATCTCCCCCTCTTGGCCACACAATGAGCCTCCTTCAGCCATCCTTGCTCCATGATGCACAGGGTAGATCAGGCTACCAGCTGCCCAGCCAGTTCTTTTTGCTCTAGCTACAGAGAGGCGATTCAAAAAAAAAATCTTACATCCCCCACCCATCCAAAATGCACCAAATCCCTCAGCAGCTCCCGGTGTGACCTTGTCTTTGTAGCCTACCCCTGCTTTCATGCCTTGGTAACCCCTTGTTCTTCTTCCCTCAGATTGGCACAACTCTCTGTGTTGCCGATCCACCAGTGAACTCTGGATACTGCTGCACTCTGGGAGGTTATGCTGCCCAACAGTAAGGCCACTAAGGAGATGGAAGTTTTAAGCCTTGGTTGTACAGAGCTGTGCGTGAGTCTGCGAGTGTGACAGCGATGCCAGATTTGGCACGTGTAGCTTTCACCTGTAGGCGTGACAGGGTTAGGCTAGCACTTCTAAACATGGTGAAACCAATAAGGCATGATACTTTCTATCAGCCAAACTGTTGCGGTGATCCAGGTGGCAGTCTTGCATGTGGCTGTCTGGCTGGATAGACTCCAGTTGGATGCTAGCATTTGCCTAGGTTCTTGGTGAGGTCTCCGCAGTGGCTAGTCCCTAGTGTGGGTTGGGTAAAATACACAACTACGGCAAGAAGAATAGTTAAAAGAAAGCACAGCAAAAAAAACAGAAAAGGCAACAGACGAAGGTGAAATAAACAGGTTACAAGGTTAGCTTTACCAGACGGACCATACTGGTTGTTATGCTGTACCACTCAAATTTTGCAGGTTCAACAGCTGGGACAAAATAATGCAGGTGTATGATGGACTGG